CATCAGCCGATGACATGCATGCATTAATATTACAGCAAGTCTCAGAAGTACTGGGGCAGCGAATTGGCTATCTCTTTGGTTTTTGATTAAACAGTTGGCTTTCGAATCTTTGACTATGTTCTAATCGAAATGAATAATGTCAATAAAGTTATTATTATTATTATTACCAGGGAAGTCAGGGGGAGATTGGCATGAGAAGGCGCCATCTGATCTGAATAGAACATTTCGCAGTCAGTCGATCATAGCCCATCGTCAACCAACAACATCCCTTTTATGAACATATTAAATAATTTCAGTGATTTCTTTATAGAATAATTCTCAACAAAACTACAGAAAAATACAGGCTCTAAAATTAAGTCAAGTGGTATACAATTCAACCGACAGCCAGTTTGACACCACAATATCTTGCTGGAGCCAGAGTTCTACACATGATTTTATTGCGTTCAAAATTGTACCATTTCAAACTATGCATACACACACACTGGTTTCTCGAAATGCATACTTGTCACTGACAAAAGTCACTGAAAACAGTTTGAACAATTTTGAGCAATAGTACTAGAGTGAAATATAAATGTGTCTCTATATTCTTCATAACTTGCTATGATCAGAGTAAAGAAAAAACCTATGGTTACTTTCAACAGTTTGCTGGAGTCTGATCAAAAATGTGTCTCAAAAAAACCTTTACATCAATTTTTCGATATATTTTTTCAGCTTGTAACGATAGAATCAGTCAATTTAGAACTATCATGTATGCTATCGGAAAGCATTTTGGCACAATTTTACTGAAAAGTCAATTGTGTCATTGCTCATGAATATTAATTTATGCAAATGTGAGGATTATTTCCACCAATCGTGTCATGCAACTTCCCTCAGAAGGAAGTGTCTGAAATAGGTCTTATTTTGCATATGAAATTAATATGCATGAACAATGAAAAACCCAATCTTTTCAGTAAAACTGCCAAAATGTTTTCAATAACCAACAATGATGTAAAAGAGTTTTTCAAGACACATTTTTTATCAGAATTTAGCAAATTGTTGAAAGTACCCAGCTTTTTAACGTGATCATAACAAGTTACAAAATTCATGGAAAATGGAAAGACACATTCATTTGATATTTCATTCTAGTACTATTGCTCAAAATTACACCTGACGTTTTTAATAACTTTTAGCAGGGATGAGTTACCTAAAACTGGTATTATGTATTTTTAGAAATCACTGTGTCTCTATATTCTTTCAGTTTGAAATGAAACAATTTTTAACGCAATAAAAATCATACTCCTGCAGGGAACTTTTTAGTAATAGACACAATTTTAGGGCCTGTATATTTCAAAGTTCCATTGAGAATTAGTCTGTAAAAAAGACATTGTTGCTTTGACGACAGCCTGCCGTTGACGGACTCCAATTTGTTCCATCCAGATTGAATGGTACCCTTTTCTGCCAATCCCCCTGAAGGAATTTATCACAAATATGACTGTACCTTGTCTTTAGCTTCTATAAATGCCCCTGATAAAAGAAGGTCTTTCACAACTTCAAGACTTCTACCAAATCCACATGCAAGGGTTAAAGGTGTCTCATCTTCCTGAAATAATAAAACATTCATACAGTCATATAAAAGTATTTTTCAGCAAATTATGAAATACCCTTGATGTAGGAATATGTAGAGTTCACAATATAAGAGAAAGGCCACCTCTAAACCATGA